CTTTTTTTAAAAAAAACCAAGAGCTCTTTCAATTCTTCCTTCTGTTTAAAATCCATTATCTGTTGTTCTGTCATCAACTTTATCTTCCTTCTTTCTTAACTTATCAGCAACTTCATCTTTTTCTTCTGTTTTTATTTCATGTGGTTTCTCAACATCCCCTTGAGAAATAATTTCATTTGGCGCTGAAAGCAATGCTTTTTTTAAAAAAAACCAAGCGCTCTTTCAATTCTTCCTTCTGTTTAAAATCCATTATCTGTTGTTCTGTGGTCATTTCCATATTCTCAACAATAGCTATGGCTGGTTGTTCCACTTTCTATGACTGGTATTCTATTTTCTTAACAGCAGCCACCATTTTTTTTTCTTCTATTGCCTCAACTGAAACCTTTATTAATCCTTTTACTACTGAATTTTCTAGTATTGCGTTTGTACATTTTCAGCAGCCAAAATTAGAAGCCTTTCTTCCTCTTCATCTTTTCCAGTTCTGTATTTACTTCTTCTGCAGCCACATGTTTTTCTAGTGTCTTCCCCACCTGTTTATTCAAACCTGTTTTGTTATTATCTTTCCAGGTGCTCTGTCTATAATCAGTCTATAATTTTAACAGCAATGCCTTCATCTGTTTCTGCTGCTATTGGCTTTTCTCATCCCGATACACACCTTTTTCCTAGCTGGTGTCTGAGTGAACCTCAGGGTTACAAATACTGTTTCCCAAATCCATTTTTGTGGATTCTTTTATTCTTATGTAGGACACAGATACATATTGCAGAACCTGTGACATTCCTTTCTACAGTAAATGCTACACATGTAAATTCCATATATCTATTACATACACACACACACACACTCTCTCTCTCTCAACTTACTTTCTCCTTCCACTGCACTGATGGCCTGGCCACCATTAATTTAGAAGGAGCTTTGTTTTCTAGCCATTTTCCAAATAGGTATCAGATACCCTGGTATCTGTAGTGAAACAAGGGCCAAATGATAAAATGTGCATGATATCATCAAACAAATATTGCTTCAGTTGTCAGAATGCAAGTGAGCATGTCATTTTGGCATCGTCCTGATTTGCTAGGGATGTCACTGATCAGTTAGGGAAAATATTGCTTTTGTACACTAACTCTGAATTTACAACAGATAAGGAAGCATCATTCCCAAACTATGTCAATTACTAATGTCGTCCAGTCCTTTTTATTTAACAAATCACAATTAATGGAAAGAAATTATAACATAACACTTTATTTTTCTTTAGAAAGGTCTTTGAATTTACTGCCCTATTTATTTAGGTTAACCAAACCTTAAAGATTATTTCTCTCTATACAACGTAATGGAAATCTCATATCTTTCATTACTTTATCTGCCTCATCTTCTAATTCATGGACTAACTGAAAACAAATTTTATTAATTCTACCATATTCTCCAAGGTGGCTCCATCTAACCACATAACTGTATCACGTGAATATCAAGTTTCATTAGTGAGCAACCTGCTTTTGTGTGCAGAAGTCTGAACCTTATTCTGAAGAAATAAGATGCATTTTTTTTAAAAAAATTATATAGATAGTTCAATTAAAGATGGTATAGGAAAATTCTTTAGAATGTGTTCAGTTTTGTAATAGCTCTAACTACATAAAAGTTATTGAAGTCTGATATTATATTGATACAGTTGAATCACTTATTCGTTATTTTTCTGGTAGAAAACATGGAAGACAGAGTTATTATATAGTTTCTCTCAGTGGACAAGTTGATAATGATCAGTTAAAACTTAATTTAATAATGTAATAAAACTGAACATGATAATGACTTTTCTTTAAAGAGAAACACCAACAAAATTGTTCCTGTGTGATTAATTACAGAATGAAAATTAGTTTCTCATAAGAAGTTACAAGAGTTTCTTTCCTCTCGTTTTAGATATGCTTATTTTTTTTTCCCCTCCTCTTTTTACTTTGTCAATTACCTCTAAGTTTTATTTTTATGGCTGTTTTCCTGATAAAGAAGCAGGCAATGAACTCTTTATTTACATTCTAATACAACAAACAATACCTTTTTATTAACTTGCAGAAATCTGAACAAGTTGAAACTTTTATTATTTTTGGGCCACACAGTGACCCACACAAGCTAGAACCAGGTTTAGTCATGCTTATAGTAGAGCTACTGTGATCATGGAGGCTTAAATTAGTCATGGCATTCTTTTCTAGGGTTGTAAAATTATTTATACAGCATATATTACACTGGCTGTTCATTTAAACAATTCAGAATGTACAAAATAGTTAAGCCTTCTCAAAGACTCTGGAACACATTTTCAGAAAAGATACAGCAATACATCTTCAACTTACCATTTGTCAGTGGTTTTGCAGCTTATTGCTGCTACAAAAAAAACGAGTATTGCTTTCATTCTGTTTGTTTGTATGCACATTTTTATTTACAATATTTTGATAATTGTGAGAACTGGAATTATGTTCAAAGCTTCTGCAAAAGCTGACCAGAGGCAGGGTGGTATAATTGTTCAATAATTATTAATCTTTTTTAAATTGGGACCCCGGTTTAACACAAATTTACTCAGGGCAGATCTTCTAAATTGTTTATTAATATGGTTCCGTCATTCTACTGCAAACCAGCTTACGTGATCTGGACCCACCGGAATCAGCCTCCCTCTTGATCTGCTGCCGTCATATAGGTTGACTTCAAGTTCCTGAAATTTGAGCAAGCCTCGGCACCTACAGTATTTGGAAAGGCAAGCTAAAATACAGATCTAATGCTCTTTGGCAGTATTGAAATACTGACAGTGACATCAGCGTAGAGCACAAAAGGTGAAAAAAGGTACTGCTACCATAGCTTAAGAATGTTACGTTTACCCAGAAGTAAGCCCTATCATTTATTCTCCTCCGTTAGCTGCGAGTAGCCGGGAACTCTCAATGGGAACGGCAGGCAAAGCAGTCAGAGCCCCAACCGACGCGCTTACGGATTGCTAACAAAGCAATCTTGCCGGTTTACAAAAACGTCTACAGGTCACAACCACGCCCAGAAGGCCAAACGCGGAGGGAGGAGAGAAACAACAGCAGGCACATGCGCGCATGCGGCGAAGGCGGGGAACTTTTACGCCCGGGGGGAGGGAGGAAGGAAGGAAGGAAGGAAAGGAAAGAGGAGGGAGGAAGTGAGAATAGTGATGTCAGCTGGAATCTGCGTCCAATCGGGTTGGAGAGGGTGGAGGAGGCTGTGATGTTGTCACCTGACTATAGTCGGTTGACCGAGAGCGTAGCGAAGGCACGGCGGAGCTGCCGGGGAGGAGTGTTTAGGTGGGTAACGCTCGCTTGGAGAGCTCGGGCTGGGCCAGAGGTGGGGGAGGACGTAGGGTTTTCGCGCGCGGGCAGAGTGGGTTCCCTGGATGAGTTGGTTTTCGCGCGCGGGCAGAGTGGGTTCCCTGGATGAGTTGGTTTTCGCGCGCGGGCAGAGTGGGTTCCCTGGATGAGTTGGTTTTCGCGCGCGGGCAGAGTGGGTTCCCTGGATGAGTTGGGCGGGGGGGGGAGGAGAGGACCAGTAGAGCGCAGGCGCGCATGTTATCGCAGGATTACTGCCCTGTCCGTGTGCCCCCTCCTCGGCTGGCTGGGAAAGGACGTCCCCACTGGGGCCCGCTGAAGAATGGGAAGATTTAGCGTGAGTCGTGTGGCAGGGAGAGGCGGCTTTGAGCAGAGGGGATGGTACAGGTTTAAAGCGCATTTGTGGTCTTTTGGATGCCCGATGGGAGCAATGACACTAGTGGGCTCTATGACAGAGCGTTAATATAAAGAACTGAGCGTCAGGATTGAGTTACCACAGTTAACTCTCAGTTAACATTGTTACTGCTGAGAGATAACTGATGGGAATATGTATTCTAGTCCTGTTAACATAACTGCGGTAGGGATTTACAAGGAGTCCTTTTGGCTATAGAAGAAGCAGATTGGTTACTGTTTTGTGTGCAACCTGAGGAAAGAAGTGGTAAACCTGCCGTCCTGTAACCAGAGAATTAGTGCAAATCACTGTGTAAACAAAACTTCGACTTGCTTTGGGAAGAATGTGATCAAATTAGTTTTGATGGGCATGATCCTAAACTGTAGTTTCAGTTCTTACAGAAGAATTCTTCTGTTTCCAAGGAGGCGTATTTAGCATGAACAGAAATTGTTCTTTACAGAAAGAAGTAATAATTTAAGCCTCACACTTTTTCTTAAAAATTTGAAATGAAATGAAATACCAGCATATTAAATGAGCACTGTATAATGGGACTGGAGCTTGGAGATGCTTCTGGGAAATTGATCTATATAAATAACTGATATAAGAATATGTGTGCTTTAATTAAACTATGAAGAAAGTAGAAAAAATTATCTGTAGTGGGAGAAAATCTGTTTGGTCTAGATGAAATGTGGTTGTCTAAAACAATAGACCTGGTATGACATGGAGATATGACCACTTGATTTATAACTAAGTGGAGACTGTCAGAGATTAATGTATATGATCATTGCTTGTATCAGAAAGCTTCAGTATGTTCTGTAAAAAAGTAAGAGATTCATGGAAAATATGTCAAGATAAATAATAAGTGGGGCCCTCTTTCTTCCTTGCATTTCTGTACTTTTCTGTATTTCTTTTAAGCAGTTTGAAACAAGCATTTACTTCTGACAAACGAACTGTATTTTGAATAATGTTCCCTATATTTTGTTATTATTGAAACAAATCAATAAATTTAAATAACTTGCTTAGCTTGGCACATACATAAAATGGTGCTTACCAAAAAAAAAAAAAAAATCCTAGGACAGCTAGGGTGGCCTTAGCAATCCTTTCCTTGGGTTGCATGGATTGCTATTGAATACCAGGTTGATAAATGTGAAAACAGTGGTCTTTCAAGATTTGTTGTTGTATCACGGAGACTTGAATGGATGATACTGGGGGACTATATCTTCTAACTTTGCAAATTGGTTAGCAATTTGCTAACCAAGCAACATAGCAAGCAAAACCTGGCCAGCAGAATGGCAGAGGTGTTGTGGCTTATTGTGATTCTGTTCTGGCCATTTGCCCCATATTCCACTTTTTAATAAGTGTATCTGAAAGTGGGTGCCTGAGACATATTTTGTTGATATGCCACCTGCCTCATTGTTAAACAGTCTCCCATCCCAAGCGAGACAAAATAATCTGAAAGCAAAGGATTTGTTTTGAGTGATTTCAACATAAAAGGTAGCCATCCTTTTGTGAGTGGCCCAACATTTCATGGACTTCATGACAGTCATGAGTCTATTCCATTTAGAATATCCCATTTATTATTTATTATATCAATTTATATTGCTGTGCATCTCATAATTGCACATTTGGATGATGCACATAGTATTAAAACCAAACAAAAACACAATAATGAAATAATAAAATAATGGTACCAAGGGCAAATCCAAGTCCAATCATAAAATCACAAAATACAAAATCATAGGGCACACATAGTATTTGATTTTCTGCATTGGCTGGCATAGAAATAATGATCTGTGTATGCAGGATTTTTTTGTAATCATTAACAGATTATCTGTGGGCTTTAAATTTACTAAGATTTCCAAGACTGCAACAACAAGAGGATAGTTTTCCCAGAAGGCTGTTGGATGTGAATGGCTTCCTGCTGATTCTTGAGGATTTACTTGTCATTTTATTTACCTCTAAAATGGAGAAGTGCCCCAGGAAATTGACAATAATTTATGAGCTCTTTCTTTTACTTGATATGATCAAATTTTTAAGGGAGCTAGAGACTGTGAAGTAAATAGTATGACTTGAACCAAATACAGGATAGGGTCCTTCTAAGACCCATTGTTGGCATTGCTGTTCTCCATTCGAGCACACTAGTCATCTATAGCCTTTTCAGCAGTCAACATCCTATTATATTTTATATTTCATTATAATTATGATCAAATTTCATACCACTTTGTAATAAAATAATTTGTATCCATGCTATAGTGGATTGCTGGGCTGATTAAAAAAAAAATTGGATGTGATTTTAGCTTATTATTGTCCAGTTGATACTTTACTGCTTATACAGCATGAAGATGTCCTCAAGGTTCTTGAGACCAGTTATATATGTGCTTGACCATTGCTATTTTTTGCTTTTAAAAGTCACTAGGTGGATTGGATGGGTAAATGCAAATAGTGGTAAGTTCCTCATCGAAAACATTCCTTCCTGCCTCAGAAAAGAGGTAGTAAGATCTTTGATTTTAAAAAAATTCTGACCCCTTCCTGGCTCCAAATGTATAGACAGTCTCCACAAGTCCATACTTGAGAAAAAATGCTACAGCATCTGGTAACACCTAAGTTTAGAGAGTTCTGAACCTATGTTCTGTGTTGGAATCAAGAAGAATTTAATACTGTTGGCTCTTCTAGATGTCTCAACAGCCTTCAGGACTGTAAACTATAGTATTATTCTAAACTGCCTGGTTGAGAGAAAATTTATGATAGGGAGCCAGCTTTATTAGAGGACTAATTTTATAAGTTGATGCCAAAGATTCTGTTTCAATGAAAAATAGTTCCGTTTCAGAGGGTTCTACATTTTATACATAAGGCTCAACATGTGCATGAATAGCTGGAAGTAGTTACTTGTAATTTGATGGTCCGATGCTATCTGCCTTTATATTTATTTAGCTTCCAATTCTGTTTTACCATTAAACACAAATTACTTGTTCCAGTTTAGAATTAGTCTGCTGGTAATGGATTGTATGGGGAAATAGAAACTTAATCTTGATAAGAAAAAGGGTCAACACAATGGAATAAATTTTCAATTTGGGCCGAATGAAGTTATGCTCCTGCTAAAGAATCAGGTTCACAAAGTGAGTGTACTTCAGGATTCAGTTTTGAACCTGGATATATAGTGGGGCAAAAAAGTATTTAGTCAGCCACCAATTGTGCAAGTTCCCCCACTTAAAAAGATGAGAGAGGCCTGTAATTAAAAAGATGAGAGAGGCCTGTAATTTTCATCATAGGTATACCTCAACTATGAGAGACAAAATGGGGGAAAAAATCCAGAAAATCACATTGTCTGATTTTTAAAGAATTTATTTGCAAATCATGGTGGAAAATAAGACAGTGGGGCAAAAAAGTATTTAGTCAGCCACCAATTGTGCAAGTTCTCCCACTTAAAAAGATGAGAGAGGCCTGTAATTAAAAAGATGAGAGAGGCCTGTAATTTTCATCATAGGTATACCTCAACTATGAGAGACAAAATGGGGGAAAAAATCCAGAAAATCACATTGTCTGATTTTTAAAGAATTTATTTGCAAATCATGGTGGAAAATAAGACAGTGGGGCAAAAAAGTATTTAGTCAGCCACCAATTGTGCAAGTTCTCCCACTTAAAAAGATGAGAGAGGCCTGTAATACTTATTTTCCACCATGATTTGCAAATAAATTCTTTAAAAATCAGACAATGTGATTTTCTGGATTTTTCCCCCCATTTTGTCTCTCATAGTTGAGGTATACCTATGATGAAAATTACAGGCCTCTCTCATCTTTTTAAGTGGGAGAACTTGCACAATTGGTGGCTGACTAAATACTTTTTTGCCCCACTGTATGTGCATTTTGGAACTGCAACTTTTTTTTTTTTTACTAAGGACTTAAGGTTATATTTAATTAGTCAACTCTTTAAAGCAGCTACACATTTTTCAGGTTTATGTGGACGCCTGAAAAAAGTCAAGCTGCTTTAATGAATAGCAGGGATGTGCTGTGTTTGCACAAGGTATGAAGTAGTTCAGTTTCAAAGTACTGTATGCCCTGCCCTATTTGTGATGAGTAATATTGCAATCTATAAAATATAATCCATGATAAAATTATGGATAACAAAAGCTTCACTAGTTAATCTCTTTAAAAGCAAAACAATTACAAATTATGAAGTTTAGGATAATGTCAATGTAGGGATTAATCTTAAAAAGATCTGGAGCCATTTGTGACAGTTAAGACTTAAAAGAATGATATTGTTTTCACCAAATGCCATTATAGTTGCCTAACATAAAAAGTGAATGAGCTACTTAATAACTGATGTTGCTCACTTCACAATGAATTTCATATTGTTTTTAACTGTCTGGATTATCCTTATGCGCAATTTAGAATCAAAGGTTTGGAATATACCTCAGAGGACATCTAGTCCAACTTCCTGTTCAGTACTGGATTTTCTGAAGTGTTTCAGACAGATGACTATCCAGCCTCTGTTTCAAGACTTCCACTGACGGAGAACACAGCAATTTATGAGGCAGCCTATTTCACTGGTTGATAGATCTTGCCTTCAGAAAGTTGTTCCTAATATCTGA